TGGCGAATATGTCATGAATCGTCTCAAAAAAGAAGCACGCGGCTTACTTTCTCTTTGCTCTATTCCGATGTTTCTCGTTCTTACAGTAACTGTGCTGATACTGTACAGAATCCTCAATCCCAAGAAAATGACCGACATCCTGCTTCTCGTCTTGCTGAATACCATGAATTCAGAGCATATGAGAGCAGGTGGAAGAGAGGATGTATCCATTTACGAAGTGTTCAACAGCTTGAAGAAAATGTCTTTTGACGGAATGAGGAACAAGAAAGTTACTTTCGCCAAATCAGATTTGCCGGAAGAAATCTCCATTGATCACTTGAAAGATATCATGATACCAATACCAAGATCAATTGGAATCAACCAACGGCTCTTCGAAAGGAACTTTGTATTCTTTTTCATCCACCAGTCCATTCAGGTTCGTAAACTAAGGCATGGCTTTAGGGCATTGTATCTTGGAAGTAGAAAAACTCATGTAACATATGGTTTGACTTGTTCCGGCTTGATAAAAAATTTCAATTCCGAGTTTAGTAAAGTTACTTTCTTATTTGCCCTGAATTCAAACCAGGTTCGCACGCACCAGATCGTTAATTTCCAATAAAAAGTGCAGAATAATATTTTCTCAACTGGTTCACATTTTGATAGCAAAGTAATAGTCTCAGCCCGGTATAATTTTTGTCGGTTCCGAGTTAATATTAAATTATATTCTCAGAAATATATATTAGATAGAAACATACACAATATATATTTGGTCGGATTGAACAACCTATATTATCGACCAGACTTCTCATTAAAACTGCTTCTTGGTCTGATTTGCACTACTTGCATTTTTCTCTTCTCATCTCGTTTGAAACTTGTCAATAACTTGAATCATCGACGACAAGCGAATAAATCTCTTCTTTCAACTTGTCGAAAAGCTTGTATTAATCGCTCAAAACTGTTGGCTAAACGAGTTTGTCGCAAGAGTTTTTGTCGAGGCCGAGTAAATACCTTTTACCATCTTACTTAACGTAAAGCGAGAAATTCAATGATTTTGCGTTGATGACACGACTTGTTGAAAAGGTACTTCGCTCAAAACTGTTTTGTTTTTCGGTTTCAGTGATATCATAACGTCACCAAAGCATGGCTCTCTAACTATAACAGAACACCCCTTCGCCCAAAATCGATTGACAGCTTTGTACTTACTGTAAATGGCTCTAATTTCGGTGCACAATACAGAACTGACAAGATATTAGTCACTGTCCGGCGTCTGAAATGAAATAGCTGCAGCATTCTCATTGATGCAATCCTGTCCAACTTTAGTGTCGCCTGTAACTTTGCTCAGGGAACATTACTTTTTAATTTCTGAGTGAATTCTCGTGACCTTGCTTTGAGCAAACGTCTGTAGATATATATATGCAACAAATTCTGAATAAAATATACGACGACATAAAATATTATTTGACAACATTCTTTACCCAGCACAGTCTTGGATCTTCTTTGGAATAATATTTGTGTATAACAAGAATTTCATAATCACAGGCGTGAGAACTGTTACTATGGGGCGTTGAGATGGCTGAATCGTTGTTAATGGCAAACAAACCATTAAAGACATAGCACAGACGAAATACTCATACATTACCGTAAAATAGGAATTAAATCTGTGTAAGTTATCGAATTGTGTGATGACGATGACCTTTGAAGGAAACAAACATAATTAAACATAAAAGATAACTCAGAAGGATGATCGGGTGGCTGCGAAACTGGTTTGATCTTGGGAATATATTCGATTTCCGTTTTTCATTCTGGTATTTTTTCTTATCCATCTTTTGGTCGAACAGGAAGCGCTTGCTGCTCTTTACGTTGCTGAAATGCCGACAAAAGAATTCGAAAAGTTTGTTTCAACCGAACTCCACAAGAAGCATTGGGTCGTAATTCGTCGAATTGTATGCGGCTCTATATTGAATCCCGAGACATTCAAGATTGCAATGGGAGAAGCAGCTGATGTTGGAATTATCAAACAGGGTGAGCTCGTCATTAGTGGAAGTGGTTTGTGCATGTTATCAGACGTTTCCCATAAGTATGAGTGTTTTGTCAATTTTCGCTAGCCCAATGACCATAAGATGGAAAACTGTTATTCATCACTAATCGTGGGTTTGATTACTGAATTGTATTCGCTGCCCATTACATAGTCTGAGATACAGAAGTTAGAGAGGAAATTCTGTCGTCTATTATTTTTCCTCCTAACTTGCTGAATATAATTTGGATTCCATATCGATCATTTCAAATATTAACTGGCTGAATACAAGTTGTTTATATAGGTAGATAATTAAGGATTCATGCGATCTGACCAAACCTAAAATCATGTCCACCATATCTATGGCCATGGAATATTAATTATTGACAATCGTCTCCGAATTGCAAAACTTTCAACTCAAACTCCCAGTTTATAGAAACTTCGGCTTGGATCTGATGAAAAAATCAAACTTCGACAGATAAATAATTGCGGTATGTAAGCCATCTTTAATGGACTGTTTTAGTGAAATAAATTTTTCTAATTTTTTCAAAACATTTTGAAATGATGTTGAAATGATGAAATTATTTTAAAAAAATTTAAATTATGTATCCTCCGATTTTCACCATTAAGACCCCAAGAAATCCAGTTTTTTCATATTGATCGATTGAAATTTATTGATCGTGACATATAATTCTGTTTGGGTTTCGACAGAGGACGTTCCCATTAATATTAATCCGGCACTCATTTCTCGTTCCATTGGCAGAATCGTTAGAGAACTGATATGTACCAAACTTTACCAGCCATTGAATAATTCCTTGACCTCACCGTTTTTCTTCAAAGGTATTGATCTGAAGAATAAGCGATCGATCTTGTTATCAAGCTTGAATGATCAGATTCAATCTGGCTTGAAGAGAGAAGATCTACTCGAGCTCATGCATGCACTCGATGAATGTGGAAATGGGGCTGATAACGTCATCGAATCATCCATCCGTGAAATTAGTTTCGGCTACATACCTCTCACTCCAAGTGATAAATTCACTCTGGCATCTGTTCTCGGTCATTGTTCTCGTCTCGATCGCCTCGGGCTGTATGGTGTTTCTGTCACATCATCTGATCTCAAACTCCTTGCTTCATCAATGCAATATTCGAATATCAAGGTCAGGATGGAATAAACCTACTATTTGTTTGAAATCGAATTTAATTTCACTAAATCTATCCAACAACAGTCCATGATAATTGACAGGTGTTGCTTGGTATGTCAGTGTGATTGAATCTGTAACAGTTGCAATAATGTTAAATTACAGGCAATATCTGGTAATTTTACATATATTTTAGCAGAACCATACCTGTAGTGCTATTGAGAAAATTTCAATCAGACGCTGAAGTCGACATTCCGAATCAAGATTGACCAAAATTTTGACTCCAACACCACTCCCTAATCCACAAATGCAACATTCTGTCAACAAACTTTCACTCCGAAATTGTAGTCTGATATCCGACTCCTTCGATCCATATCGACCGATATTGTGGATAATTAGTGATTATGCGAAAAATATCATAATTTTGACAAAATTATTTCCGTGAAAATATTTAAAAAATAGTTTTCTCTAGATCAAGTGCATATTAAACCTAACTATGCGTGAACCATTAATGAGCTTTCATTCAAACAGTTGCAATCTTCGTTTTTTCCTATTTCGAATACTACTAATGACTACATCAGTGGTTCTCAACCGCCGGTCCGCGTCAACCTTGCTGCCGGTCCGCCAAATATATTCCAATATAAATATATTCTAAGCAAATTGCAAAATACAAAGTATTGACTGCATGTCTATTCATTTTGTGATTATTTAACTCTATTGAATCGTAGTACCGGTATTTGTCTAACAACCAAACTTGATGAGAAGTCCACTGTCGATGTCAGAGAATTTCGTGCGGCCCGCGAAGCATTCAGTGTCAGTATTATTAATATTACTGGCAACACTATTTCCAATACATCTATTTTAATGGATCATCATTGACATTTAATTTTGTCAATACCTTTAACAATGAATCAAAATGACCATTTTTGGGCATAGTTACGCTATCTTATCAGAAAACGCACAAAGATTAACGGAGAAGGGTAACGTTATTTTGAGGAATGTTTCGGCGCACGATACACGTGATATTTGAAAGTAATAAAAAGTTTATAACTTCAGCTCAATGATTAAAACAACGGAAGATCTTGAAAAAATGCCCACGTTTCAATAATCGGTTAATTGTCACAGGGGATTCATTCACATTTTCTGTATTGAAGTCTTGCCAAATGCGGATCTTCCGAAGCAGAAAAACACCACGTTCTGGAATAGTAAATATACAGTTGCGGTTCAGGTTCGTAATGAGAAGGAAGATTTGAATTTCCGGCGCAATCTACATTTCTAGCCCTCACTCTATAAAACCGTTACTGGATTATTTCTAATTTTATTTTAGCTGAACGGAGGCTGTAGTGTTTTTTATGGCGGGGGCTTTGTACAAAAGTTTCCGAAATACGTTCCCTGAAGCATTATTAACTAGAATTTTGCATCTTAACTCGACACAAAATGTCATGAAGGAAGGTTCGATGAGACATAGGTTGAAATACGTTTAAGCGCAATGTCAAAATTACCAAAAAGGGGAGGGGATTGAAAAGAATCTGAAATTACTATAAAACTGTCGCCACAACTAGGCATGATGATTCTGCATTTGCGCAAAGTATACAATCGGCCAATGGGAGTCTATTCATATTTTGCTTTATTAGTTTGAATTTGTGTGTTCAATATAACCTGCGGTTGCGTCGACAAAATAAGAACATTACTATGAAATATCACGACAATCCACAGCTATAAAATAGTGTTTCAAACTACCCGGATTATATTTAGTTTTGATTCGTATTTTTGCATTGTTACGAATCATACAAATTTGATCTGTTCTTGCAAAACAATTTCCGCTCTACCGCAATGCTACCACTAAAGATTATTTCCTAGATGTCAACGTTAGAAATCCCTAGATCTGCGATAAAATATCAAAGACTTTATTTTTTTGATTGTACAGTGATCCCCGGTAGTGACTGAAAATGCTGCGGTATCGAACGGAAATTCGGATCTTGAACGCTCAAGCCGGGCGGAGATCGCGGCCGAGTGAGATGACGCCACAAAATATCCCAACTTAATCGATACAGCTCGTGACTGACAGACGAAAATCTTAGTATGCAATTGAGACTTGCCAAGTCATCTCTCATCTGTTCGACCTTATATAAAGCGCTTAGTAAAGCTAAAAATTTCCAAAATTCGTCACTGAACAAAATTCATTGACTGTTCCTTTTTATTTTATGCTGCAATATATCGTATGGATGCAGTTGTTTGTTTTTGTTAATAAAAATTAACAGGTAGTATGACTAAAAAGTTGTGCGCGCTTACTCAGCGGTGACTGGTGAAATGGTTTGCGATAGCAAATAGGTTCGTCACCCCTGATTTAAGCCCTGAACGGCTGGATGTTTGTTAAATCTATGGCCTCATAACAGCGGCTTACTTCATAACCAAGTAGTTTGATAGCACATAGTACGGTACCTGATTGAAAAGTTTGCACGTTCCGTAATTTGACAGTAGGCTTATAATTTAGCGAAGTTTGATAGTAAAATGGAGGCATGAAAACCCAGTTGGTGGTGTTGACAGGACATAGGAAGAGACTGCTACTTCAACTTTTTACAACATGCCCCGAAATGCTCTTGAAAACGAATATCCCGAGCTCAGTGACAGAGCCATTAAATTACTGCTGGTTTTTTGTACAATTTACCTTTGTGAGAAAAGCTTTTCAACGTTACCTCCATCAAGACCAAACAGAGAAATCGCGTGGAAGTCAACGCTTTACGTCGCCTTGCAGAAACTTTATTGAGCCGCGTTTAAAACGTATATATCGAAACGACAGCAGCAAATTCTCATTAAATTGGATTATATATATCTCTTCTTTTGCACCGCCTCATTTTGTCGTAATTGCATTCTTTCGACTATGTTTTGTATTCATGACTTTTTGGTTAATTTTGAAGGTCCGCCGGTTCGCAAAATTTGTTTTGGAATTTTACCGGTCCGCGAACTGAAAAAGGTTGAGAACCACTGGACTACATAATGTAACAATAAAATAAAGCAGACCTCCCCATTTCCACACTTCAGTAAATAATGCGGTAAAGACAGGTTAAAATACAGCCGATGCGTCATCCTGTTAACAATTTCGTAACCATTACCTAAAGCAAATGCCACACCATGCTCATAGTTCATTATGTTGAAATTCTTATTTGCAGATAAAGAAGGCTGGTTTTGGAATTCCGGTGAGTTGATTGAAAGTGATTCTCGTTTTATCTTGATATTTCAATGCAATATTAACTTTTTATTTCCATACCTTGCTATGTAAGCTACTCATCTCTATTGCTTCAAATTATTCTCAATGAAATTATTTTTCTATTCAGAATGTAACCAAAGAAAAAGTGAGTCAGTTAAATTTATTTGTTATTGATCTCGAGTCCAATCCTTTGAACATTTACCTCGGTCAGTGTGTAATAGATTAGGCTATGTCGATTCTTTTCCGCAGTCATTGGATGTTTGCCACGAAAAAAATATCGATTCAAATGTATTTATTGCGTGTTACCAGCTTGGTTACATCATCTCGACTGCGACCCTCTAGTGCTCAGTTCAAATTACGCATAATTGTCGAGTTTTGAAAAGCAAGTTGTCGCCCCTGTGATTATGGTTTGGTTCACCAAGGGTCCCCCAGGTTGAATTAAACCGTGCGAAACGATGAAAAACCGCTCCCTGCACCAGTTTTCCCCAAGCCTCCCGAGATATTGTATTTCTTCGTTTTTGTCTTTCTAAGCAAAGTAGTAAAATTTTTAATGAATTTAAATTTACCTTCATATTACTCCTAACAATTTGGAAACGTTTCTTTGACCAGGCTACGCCACTGTTGCTCAAAAATCGCTTTGTAATAAATTTGAATCAAGTTTTATAAATAAAGGAAAACACATATCGGCCCATTTACGAATAGGATCTTCTTTTGCGTTAGTTTTGTTCAAAATCGATTCTGCTTCTCTCGATTTTTACTTTCTATTGCGTCTCCATTTACACTGAAGTGCATTTTTTTCATATGTTCATCCAATGTGTACTTTCGGTTTGTGATAAAATCAACTACTGACTATCACAGAAAATATCGTCAAATCCCATTTACTTTTTCGAGGTTTTCGCACAAAGGTCTCGCCCAGGTTCTCTGATCTCTTGGCCACATATAACCAGTGTGTTATCTATGCATAAGCAAATATACAGGGTGGTCGCTAGAAATACAGAAAATTTGTTGAACTTTATTTATTTTACTTGTATTCTGACTTTGCAACCAGATATATAGTTCTACTTTGTAAAGTTAATCTTTTGCTTTACAGATTTTTGCTGTCGAATCTGATGATGAAGTGAGTTGACTTGTTTGAAATATAGTTCCAGTATAAAATCATTTTATATTAACTGCATGAATTTCTTCCCGTACAAAGTGTCGACTCCTATTCTTAAGTTTTGAAGTTTTTTATAAAAACTTCAATCAATTTATTGAATTTGAACCCGGCCACGTCTTAAATATTGAAACTTGTAGAATAATAACAATTTTTATTGTAATCAGAGCCTAAAATGATTATTGTGGCGTTCCTGTTATCAGTATGACGACATCTGATCTAATTCGAAATATCCTAGAAGGTATAAAAGTTTGGGCTGACTGGTTTGACCAGGGTCGAACTCAAGATGTCAGACTGCTAATTCCATCATTTTTTAAGTATTACCCCGAGCCATACTACAAATGCCATCACTGTTTAATTTACAGAGTTTCATTTTGTTTTAGCGGATAAGGATTATAGAAGCAATCAAGGTGAGTTGATTCTACTTGTTCGGTTATTTCTCTTTCAACAACATTCTTTATCATATTACTCTGAACAAGCACCAGACAAGCATTCACTTCACTATGCCTGTAATCTACTGTTATGCAAACTCCATTCTCCATAATTGACCAAATTTATACAAATTAAGTCCGAGACACGTTAAATAAACACTTTTTCCTGACCCCCCCCCCCACATTTTTGAGAAAAAAGTTTGTGTAAAGTGGCATATCACTCTGAATAAAGCCTTAGATAAGCAGTTACATAAATTTTACAAAGAACAAAAACGTGAAGACCGTTGGACTAACCCGGGCTTGAACTCGGGTTCCTCAATCTGTGGGGTCGTCTTTTACATCGGTAATACAGATGTTATGCCGACTCTATACAAGGCTTTAGACAAGTAATTGACCAAATATATCTAAACAACGTCCGTAATTTTCTTAAATTTTAGTAAATTGAATGCATTGAATAAGAATATATATTGTGAAAGTCGGAATTTGGCATTCAATTATTAAGGCTGGAAATAAATGTTTTAGATAATTTTATTCGTTTCATCCCATGCTTTACTTTTCCAATGTACATTCACGCATTAAAAATTAATTTACGCATCGTTTTATTTACGATATCGACACCAAGTTAACTGCACAGTGATTATAAAAGTCTGTTTAATGTCATCCAACCAACCCTATAATTCACATTGAAACCGTTTTCGGATTAACCCAGCATTTCATAAACTTAGTTTTGCAACCTTTGGCTCCTATTATCCCGGAGACAAAAATAGCTGTGTGATGTCATAGTATGATATCAAATTAACCCTCTCATATAAAAACCGATTATGACGTCATTACACTAAGTTCAAACATGGAACGTTTTTTGAATTCTTGTTGTGTGAAAATGCTTCTCCGCAACTAATGAACCAATCGATTTATTTTTGAAAAATAAAACTTTTTTCTACAAGGGTAATCAATTTACTTCGAGCCCCGTGCGGCCGATATTTCACTCAAAATTTTGCTGCTTTAATTTAATTGAAGGGGAACACTTTTCATTCCATCCTGCTTCACTGTCCCGGTCACCTTTGTCCGCCGACCATGCTCATCTAATTCCTCACCGGTACCGATGTCCTTCGTGTTCCTATATATGAGAATTGCTCCCTTGTTTATAGAACGATCCACCTCTCCCACATGATAAAGCTGTTATATTCTGCGACATCTTGCCTCATATCACTGAGGGGCTGCAGCTGATCTACGGAGTAGAACCTGAAGATATTGAGATGATTCAGAGTAAATTGGATTCAATTCCAACAACGGTGAGAATTGTTTGCATTCAATTTCAGATGTTTTTCGTTTCTTTAAGGTTGCAAAACATTATATTGATGCATGTGTGGGGACTCAGTGATTGGTTGTTGGTGTGAGACGAAAACTCAGCAAATCCATGTTTGGTCCATGTTTCATGGAACAATAGTAAAAGGTAAACCAGACAAATTTCATACATGGCCAAGCGTGATCGATTATTGCTTAAAACTGTGAAATCGTGCTCACATCAAGTTTACTGTGATTTTCTTGTAAATTTACTGATAATTTGGGAAAATGATGAGAAAATATTCCTACTCATTGACTCATAATATTACAATCGGGGTGGATATTATTATATAGGCGGAGTGGAAAGCCTATGAGACGGTTAAGAAGCGGTAACCAAGCAACAGTCCCTACAATGAATCCAGTGCAGCAGATTTGATTGTTATTTAGAGTTTACTTTGCCATTTCCAACATTGATAGAAGTTATATTTTATCTAGAATGGTTCAAGCCATCTGATCAGCTTTCCTATCCCCGATATCTGTGATTCCGTGTAAATTTCTATGAATATTTATTTTGTTATAGGAACTGAAAGTGGGGTTATCATGACGTCAAATGGGTTAAACTTCGTCAAAGAAGATCTGAGCAACAACAGAAATAAACAAACTTGAATTGACTTTCATGAAATCATTTGTTGAAGCAAGATTTCAATATTCAGACGATTTTTTTTTCCAACTTTGATTCCGATGAGAGCGATGTTGTGAAACTATTGTATTTTAATGTGATTTCACTGTTAATTTTACCGCTCATTTTGAACAGCAAGTCTGTTATTTCATTACATTCAAATATATCCGGTTGAAGTGAACTTAACACTATGTTGGCGTCGCAAACCCAAGCCCACCGCCTCACTCAGGGTCTAATAAATTTAAGACGCGAAAATATCAGTTTCTTATGTATCAGTGACTGCTCGCACATAGCCTTGTTTGGGATGAAACTGTGAAATCTTATGAAATAGATTCACGAGAACATGAAAAAGCAAATTCTTTGACCATGGTGAGGTGGCGGGAATGGGGTTTGAACCCGAGATTTTCAGAACCACTTTTATATCGTGAACATTTTCTGATTTATTCACAACTTTATCTTTATTCAGTCCTCACATTATACAGTTGTGTTCAGCATTGCTTATATTTAAATAACTTACGTAATCTGGGTATTTCAACATAAACGCTCAATTTTTTCTGAACAAGCTCTGAACACTGCAGTTTACGCAATATAGCTACTATTACGAGCAAAGACATTGAACCCTAGATTTATAAGCCTGGCTCTGTATTACCTGAAGTATACCAACCTTTCCATACTGTATGTTGGAATGTGAGTGACCAACCCTACATAGGGGAAACTCAGTTAATAGTTGTTGCTGAGCTGATCTGGTATCTAATGGACTGTGTTGGGATTCCTGTACGACTCTGTAACGTCGAGTAGTTACGCGACCTACTTGCAGTCCGGAATCTTCCAACACTCGGTTGCGCAGGGGCAAATATATCTTGACGGTTTACTAAACTAATTCCTGGGCCATTTGCAGAGCTTTTGTTTGACTTTTTATTAGAGTGATTTTTTCTTTCTATGTTTTAATTTTTATCAATATTATACAGTAGAACCCGATTTGAACCCATTTTAATTTATATAACTTCGCTCTTACCAGGATTCAATGAAGCAACCCTATTAGATTGGGAATGCTAAGCACTTTAAACGAACTTTTCTAGTGTGTAATATGTGAGTCTCGTATGTCAGCATAGCCAGACAAACTACAGGGAAATCTTGAATTCAGGATTCTAAAGCAACTGCAGTTATGCTTGTATGTAGAAAAGTTGCATGATTCGTAGTCTATAAGTGCAACAATTTTATTGTTCTTTAGTCATAAATTCATTGTCCACTTTAATAATTCTATATCATATCGGATTTTCAATTATTAGCCACGAGGCCATGGGTTTTGTGTGGTTTCCTAAGAGGTTAACCATACTCTCCTATACCCGAGTCCCAACGATTTTACGACAAGACTATAAAGTCCTCGTATTTTTTTGTTCAGAAATTTTCTGGTTTTTATTTGACAATGTGTTTTACTTTTTATGTATTCATGGATAATTTCTGTATGTCAAATATCTCCTATACCTGAGCCCCAAATTTCAATGCTTGACGTCAGAGTCTGTAATATTTTCTTCCGGTAGTGAAGCCGGAGTCAAATTGTAATCGCAAGTTTAAAGTTTATCAGCCCAAAATATGTAAAATAAATTGTAAAAATAGTCTTTTTAAAAATAAACTTCATCATAAACAAGCAAAAAGCTATATTAACCTGAAATTTCTTGATCTAAATTTTGTTATTCTCGAGTTAGAAGCCGCAGTCGTTTTTTTTTTTCAACCAGTTGGAACTCCCAATTCCACAGTAGTAGTCATTTGTTTCTGTTTATGATTATGTGTGTCAAGAAATTATTATTCAGATTAATAAAGTAATAATAGTGAAATGGTTGT